CTGCTCCCCAGAGGACTTTTACATTTGGTCACACCTTGACATCGTGTCATACTGTGATTTGTCTTTACATTTGCAACTAGTAGAACTGTTTGTTGGACGCTTTGTATTGTGAGGCCTGACACTGTTGTCTACATATGTACATTTACAGTTGTTCTTGTTGATAAAAGGAGGATTTTTGCCACCCTGTATGTGTTTGTATACCACTGAGAGAGGATCAGATTGCTAAACCTGGAGATAGAATAGCAACGTTTGAGACTTTATTATTGCCAGTGGACACAGATGCACAGCTCTGTATGCGTGTGCTCTGGACGCAGCTAGCTGTGGTCATAGGCTTTTATCTATAATGGCCATCGATGGACAGATGCACACACTTTTTATCCCTGTTTATAAACTGTGGTTTTCATCCTATAGACGGATGAATAGATGGATTCTCTTCATCGAACCACCACCATCGCTAGGTTTTGCTTCCTCTGTCATTTTTTTCTCACCAGATTGCCTCCCCCTCCCTCTCCCATCTGTGTGTGTGTGTGTTTGCGAGCAGTTGGCCAATAGCAAACACACTCCATGCCAAACCATCTGGGCCTTAAATCTGTCCTCCACAAAAATCGCTTTAGTTGCAAAACCAACACACACAAACACACGTCGACTGTTAGGGTTTGTTCAGATTATGTTTTGACTCTGTTGTTTTTAATGTCCGTAACAATATCTTTGGGCTGAAGTCGCCTCGATTTCATGCTGTGAACTCGGTTCCAGCATCTTTAAACCTATGCCAAAAAATATAATTTAATAATTCAGTGTTTTTCTCTCCGTTGAGAGCAGATGCATCGTTTTGCTGTATTCATCTCCATACGCTGACTTTACATGTATTTGTACAATATTAATGAGTTTATGCTGCCAAAAAAGCTTGCGTGGAGTTTTTTTCTGCTGTTGTATGTTGCTTTCTTTTCTTTGTCTCCGCGTCCACTGCGGCTGTGGTCGCTCACACTGGCCACCCATTTCTTCTCAACAAACTGAAAATGTGAACTGCATCACAGCACAGAGGATTTTCCCAGGACACGCCTAGAAGACACTTCCCGAATTTTTATTAAGATCCATTCTGATCCTCAGAGTTAAATATAGGCTTTCTTCCTCCAGCCACATTTCATACATGCAAACATAAAACATGTAGATGGATGAGAGAGAAAGTGAAACGCAGATGGAAGAGGAGGGAAAGTTAAGGTGAGCAGAGGTGATAGAGAGATGGGAGGGTGAAAATGAGAGAGAATAGTCTGGTTAATTTGGTGTCAGGGTATTGACTATGTTCGCTTCACCGTCTAGCTTGATTGTATTGTTCGCACAGAGAGTGATTGGGGAATTTGGTGTGTCTAAGGTATAACAGCACTGCAGAAAATTACCTTGCAGGCGGCTGGTGGTTGTCTGCAGCATGAAAGGAGCCTCCCTTTTCTTCAGCCTCTTACCCATCATTAGGGTGTACACTGCTTTTAAAATGGCAGGTGAAAGTGGTAACTGTATGTGTGTGTGTGCTTGTATGCCTGCCTTATGTAGTAATGTGTGCCTGCTCAGTAGGTGCAAGCATGGGTGCTCATTGTTCTGGCATCTCTCTCATTCTTTAGACACCTTTCTGGCTATAGTTTCTTGTTCTGAACATTTATATATCTACTCCTAAACACCAAACAGCTGATTCTCTTTCGCCTTTCTTCTGCTTCTCTTTCTTCTTTGTCTGTGAAATCCCTCTTCTAATGCTTTTAACATGCCAGCTTCACCTTTTTTCATTCCTCACTCTGTCTCGTGGGTGCTTATCAGTGTTGTTCACGTTTCCCTGCTTTACTAGAGCAGTCAAGGTATTTGCATTCCAAATGAGCAGTCTACTTCTCTGACATGCAAATTAATGGATGTGAATTATGCATTTACAGCAGGCTGCTAACAGACCAGAAGGACCAGCCCAAACAAATGCACTGAAACACTATAGAAGCAGGGGAGGCAGTTCAGGATTCCATTAGACCAGTGTAGTGGAGAATGCAGCCATTTTGCAGCCAGGTTGTGTTGGATTGATGTCAGAGCTCGTATTTTTAGCTTACAGCTGTCTACGGCTAATTTTTTATGCTGCTAGTCATTATCTTAAGGGAATAGTCGCCCAGAAATGTATTCACTATCAGAGTGGCTCTGAAAAGGAGGCCCTGGAGTCACAGCAGTGACAGACGCTCCAGAAACAGATCCCGTCAGAAAGTATCAAAACATCCAGGGAAACATTGCAAACCACTCCTGCAGTATATTGATCTTTATGTTTAGCATGTTCCAAATTGCCACTTTGCCAATTTGAGGAGGTAATAGGTGTCACGGAAACATTTGGCTTCACTGTGTAGAAACTGACAGCGAACATTCAGATCTACTGCTGGGTAATAGATGGTGCTGCAACTTGAGTTTGAGTCATTTGGTGGTCATCATGTTCTTTTCCTGTGCAGTAGTGCTTTAAAACCTAGACTGCAAACAAGAGTTTTACTCTCTGCCACCAGTTTTACAAAAGATGAGGCAGCTGCTGCTCATCCAGACCGCCGAGTTTTAAGACTGTCATGATGAGATGTTAACATGGCTGTTTCCTGGTATGGTTACATGTTTGAATTGAATACATTTCTTGAAAAAAGTTGGATCAACCAATCAGCTTGCTTTTGGACATGAGTGTCAGCTACTCTGTGGACCTGCATTTATGTGTATCCTCAGATAACCATAACAGCAGCCTAACACTGAACTGACACAGAGTGGTAGGCGATCTCTGGCCTCATAAATCCACAGCTCGGTGGGTGTGTTGCACACAGTCGATGTGCTCCACCCCAACCGGACAGCTGTTTGCTGACATAGCTGCTGCACATGAGGACATCATTCATTTTGGTAAATGGTCTTATACTTGTGTAGCGCTTTTCTATGCATCGCTGCACACTCAAGATTCTTTCACCCTATTTTGACTAGTCACCTGTTCGCATTCACACATTCTCTCACCGGTGGGGGTTCAGTGTCTTGCTCAAGGACACTTCGACATGTGGACTGGACAAGCCAGGAATCGAACAGCTAATCTTCCGGTTAGGAGACAACCCGCTCCACCTCCTGAGCCACAGCCGCCCCGTTGTTCATTTTCTGCAGCTCGCCTTGTTTCCAAAGTCCAGAATGGCTTGGCTTGAAGTCCTACTGCCTTTGCAGTAACAGCAGTGCCAGAGGGGGCAGGACTGTTTGGCACTGTGGTCCTGCGTCTGTGCAGGAAGTGACCCCAACAAGTCTTGTGAAGCGGAGTAGTAACCAAGTCTGTGCTTTGATTCCGTGGGAATCAAAATGAATATAGGTGGAAATTGATTATATCAGCATAAACTCCTTGAGAAACCTTTTTTTGGGGGGCTGCTTATTTCAGCATTTCATTCTAATTGTATTCCTTAGCCTATGCTCATTTTATTGAATCAGATTTAGTTCAGTTTTCTTTTATTTTCTCTGCCTTTTCTTCCTATTTGAAAGGCACAAATAAAGCTTCCTGTGATGCTGTATGTTCAAATGCATCTATCCAGCCTGAGTCACAAAGTGTGGCTGCAGCAGGAAAGAGGATCCCACTCTGACTAACTGCTGTGTTATACCTCCACCCTACTTTCTCAATTAAATTATGGTGTCAGTACAGTCATGGTGTGAAATCTTCACAGGAAGTGATGAATCAAACAGCAGAGAGCAAACACTCAGTCCATTAAACACTGAACTCACCAACATTGGGTCTTTTCCTCTCTCTTGCTCGTCTCTGGTATTTTCTACTGTCAAAGCATCACAGACCCTTCGGATTTGTTCTCTGACTTCTTTAACAACTTCCGAGCTCTGACGTTATTGAAATTAAAATGGTTTTCAAACAATTACCTCTCACCAGCTATTAGAGGCACCAATGTGTGAAATTACCCAGCACAGCTTTAAGTCTGATTGTTTTTGTACTAAAAATAAACACCAATTTTTAGTATTTCCCCCAGGAGTCCAATCCAGCCTGAAAGTGCAGGTTTGTACCATTCAGCATTACACCTATGTGCAAAATGACGCCATCACACTTTTTGCCACACTTTCATCAACTTTTATACTGTTGTTCTTTGCCGTCTTTGACTTTCTGGCACTGCAGGCACAGATTTAGCTGTTGACGCTGTTTCAGTGTCTCACTTTACTTGCTGGTTACTTGGGGGTGTGTTTATTGCTGATGTTTTTTAATACCTTTGACTTTCTGTTGCTGTTTTTAACATTTCTCTCTCCTGTTTGTTCTGAATTATGATGAAAAAGTTAAGATAGGCAGGTCAGGTGTGTGCTGGTGCCTGTGCTGATCAAATAAGAAAACCGATGAGATTCCACTGAATTTAAGATTTTCTAATGTGTGTGTGTGTGTGTGTGTTCAAAATATAACAACATTTTATTGTTATATTATTGTACAATATGGTAAAACTTAATATGTAAATTCTCCTCTTCATTGATTAAGTTGAGATCATTTCACATCCTGTTTTGAACAACTGGCCATAAGTCAAAAACCTGTGGTTTGATCCGTTAGTACCTAGATAATGTTGCCTGACCATTGTTTTGAAAGGTGTAATTATTCAAAAACATTTTATTCACTTTTTAAAGAATTTTGCAGAATGTGAGGGCTACACTGGGGCTACTCTTGTAAGATTTTTTTTCTGTGAATTATGAAAGAACAGCCACATAATCACTGGATATGAAACATATAGTTAAGTTGTGAACTACAGTACCTGGCTGTTCAGTACGTAAGGGCTCAAAAAGCAATTAAACATCCAGTTATTAAATTTAACCTAAATACTTAGTGTCCTCGAGCTTCTAACAACAGAGCGTCCACCAACACTAGTGTATTAGTCCCACTTATAATGGTCGGCCATTATTCTGTGTTGATTTGAGTCGGCAGGAGGGCCAGAAACGTCAGAGCAAACTGGGTCAGGCACCAGTTTGTAGTGGCAAAGTATTAATAAACTGTTGGGTGAGAAATGAACAAGAAGCTCAGTTGTCTTTTATAGATTTATTGAAGCATGCAAGATGATTCAGCTGAATAGTCACTGGTCTGAACTGTCGCAGGAGCAAACCCAGAATAACAAAGTACGAAAAGCTACAGTTTTTATAGGCACAGCAAACTGGCAAAAGGTCATGAAGGGGAGAACTGTCTGCAAGATACAGTAAATGACTGTCTAGACATAATATATTCTGCCCTGAATGAGGAACTTCAGGCTTTTGTTTTTCTATTCCAGGAGTGTTGTCGCTTCACTCCACTGCTGTACAAAAGCCACATACAATCAGAAACAGGGCCTAAGAATGCTGATTTACTGATCCTTACAGGGTGTAACAATGAGGCACAGGCTGAAAGTTGTGTTACTACAGAGCTAGATATACCTTACCTTTAACAAAGGCACTTTCTATCTACGTACAACCAGTTGCATTTATCGTGGTTTTTGGACACCTACAAATTTTTAACCATTAAACAGGACCAACTGGATAATCATGACAAAACCTGGTGAAGTCACATCAGAGGCCCTGGGTCTGTGTCCCTGTCAGTGTACAGAGGGTTTTGGTTCTGCCATGTCAGGAGGAACAACAACGCCATTGCAGATAAAAGCCTAAACATGTAAATGTCGAACCAAATTTAGCTTTTCTGCCGTCCTGGGTATGATCAAGTTAGAAGCTGTGTGTGCACACGTGCTCAAAAACACAGTAACACCCCCCATCGGGACTTAAAGTTTCATAAGTGTGTATGTTTTCTCATGCTCACATTTCTCTTTGTCTTTTAATTTACCCACACGCCATCTGGTTGAGTAATTTTTATCACAAGGAGAAGAAGGTCTCATCACCAACTGATTCTGCTGTGAATACGTGTGTGTGTGTGTGTGTGTGTGTGTGTGTGTGTGTGTGTGTGTGTGTGTTGTCTGTTTTTGTAGCCACCACCCTGCCTGGAGCTGCACACATGCTTTGTATAAACACATTAGACACATTTCTTCTTTTTCCTGAGATGCTAATAACTACGTCTCAGTATGAGGTCTTGTCAGGATTAGTTCAGCTGAAAGTTAAATGATTCCTGTGGTGAAATAGGTTTAATGCAGCAAACAAAAACTTTAGGATGTTGAGACACAACCAAGATATCTGCATTTGTTTTCACTTAAATTCCAAACCTGAAAGACAGTACAAACAGAAACACAGAACCTTTTCGGTTTTAAGTAGTTTTAAATAAAACTTCATTTCCCATCATACACTGTTATATGTATTCACATAACTTTTATTTTACTGCTTCTTCCAGGTACTAACAGAAGAAGGTTTTGGTCCAGTTACAACAGAAATATCTGAAGCCAATCCATTCTACTATGCTGAAGACTACCACCAGCAGTACCTGAGCAAACACCCTGATGGATACTGTGGCCTGGGAGGGACAGGAGTCTCTTGTCCAATAGGAATCAAGACAAAGGCCTAGGCAGCCAATGATAGCCAAGAACTGTCTTCGATAAGTGATGTTTAAGTTTCATAAAGCTAATATATGCAATGATTTTGTGGATTTTTGTACATTTTATGCAATAGAGGATCATTTTAAGCACCATTCTATCCTTAGAAACGTGAGCAATGAATGTAGAATTTGTCATAATTTTCTGACAACTTTTCCCACAAAACAAAAAAACTTGTTTTTTTTTCTCCTGGAGAGAAGAAAGGGGAATTGTGAAATGATGCAGTTTGCTTTTTAAAAGCCTGTGTTAGAAGGAGCTATATTAAAAGTTTATGAAATCAGAAGTCTACAGTTTTTTTCTGTTTCCTAATAGTAATTGCTACTTAAATTTATACGTGCTGCCCTATGTATATAGAACACAGATTTGAAAGAGAATGAAGAAATCAGGCAGTATGTGATCATCTGGTGGATCCTTTCAGCTCACTTTGCACAGTATGTCAGACCTCTGACACCATTTCATGCAATTCTAACCTTATCAGAGGTGGAGGAAATGACAGTGTGGAGCTTTACAAGAACAAGTGCTGAATTAAATTATTGCAAAATTCAGTAATTTCTGCAATCAAAAACCCAGCTTAATGTCATGGATTTACTTTACTGACCATCTAAGCTACCTGGATGCTTTTAACTTGACATCAATTTGTATGATTATTTTCTCTCACTGGTGAACTGGAGATTTTATAATTAAAAATGTAGTGATGTGTTTGTCTCTCTTCTTTGTGTGTGTGTGTTGTGTTTCAGAGCAGGATTTTGGATGACCTCATTCCTCTGGTCTTTGCCTGAGGCTGTGCTCCACTCTGTAATTCATCTGTCATCGATGTTAATCTGCATGCATGTGTGTTAGTACAGTATATGTGTGCTTTGATGGTGCAGCATGCAGATACACACACCAGCAGGAGGAGAGTGCGTGTTTGGTGCCAGGCCCTCCAAAGCTTGGCATTACCATCAAATAGTAGAAAGAAAGCAAGAGAAGGAAGTGATCAGTCTCTTTGGGAGTGGCAGAGCGCCACTTTGGAGCTCTGCTGTGCTGGATCACCTCCATGATGCAGGCTGCATGACCCGGGTTCGAGCAGACATTTAAAAGCCAAATCTGACCAAAATTTTTGGAAGGGAGTTAAGCTGCTTCTTCTGTGTGCACAGTCACAAACATACAGTACTGGTCTCCATAATTGATCTCTTTTTACTTTAAGTAAAATCCAAAAATTTGTTCACATTTTTACCTTTAATTCTTGCTATGGTGAAAAAGCCTAAAAATTTAGGCAACAAGGTGCTAAAAAATAGTTTGAGTACCAGTACGAGAGGGTGGTTTATTCTAAGGAAACGCTATTTGGAGGAAAAGCCTTAAAATCCTCTGTGTTCTTAATCTCATACAGTACACGCTGAACTGACAAAGCTAACATCGTTACTTACAAAAGATTTACTTCTATGTAACATCACATTTGGGTCTGTTCCAGTACCTGTCCCCGGATGGAGCACTTGATTATGCTGCCATCTGGTGGTAGGTCTAAGTATGAATGTGCACATGGCTCAAGTTCACTGAAATTAGAACGAAGTACAAATGTATTAATGATGAATAGCCTACTGCAGACATTGGAATTTGGGGACAGTGTTGCCATAACAGTCTTTAAGTCAGTCTAAACTAGGGCAGCAATTAAAGGTGCTTTTCTCTTAATTATTCCATTTTAGTTGATAAATCTCCAGTTTACTGTCAGATTCATTATTTGTAGATTGTTTAATGAATTAACTGGTAATCATGGTAGCTCTAATTTACACTGAAATGAATTCAAACAATTTTTTCTAAATTTTCTAAGTCTAAATGCATCCTACTTCCTTCAATCCACAGAGATTTGATTGTTTAAATACAAATATATAATTATTGTTACCTACAGCTAGCTCACAACCTCATTGTTAAATCTAAAAAGTATAGTAATTTGATCACTTATTTCTCTGGAAAAATTTAAGGTGTGATCACAAAAGGCATAGTTTATATGCATATACCTTTTTAAAAAGTGCTGTATAGCAGGAAACGCAAAAAGCTAGCGCGATTAGCATAATTCTAACATAAAAATGCAAGAAAAACTGGAACAGATTTTTAAAAATAATTGTACTATTTACAGAAAGATTTTTGTTGTTTATTTAAAAAAGCGGACTAATTATTAACGTCAATTATTCCTATTAGAAAGAAATGTTTTCAAATTAGCAGTTTATTTTGAAGGGACACATCGGAAGTTTGTTGTAGGCTTGTTTGTTGTGATGTATTATAACATTGAGGACACCTTGCCGTTTATAGTCCTAACATTTTCAGTCTCACTTAGAATTACTTTCATATATTTATTTATTACTTTAATATATTTAAGTTAAATATTTGTTGTAGTTGTTTGCATTTAGCGTTTGTTGGTTGTGTCGGTGATAATGATGATGATGATGATATGACACAGTTGCTGTAGCAACAGAGAACTTCCTTCAACTTTATGTGAATTCTGCGTGAACCAAGACGAAAGGTAACTACAATGTTTAATGAAGCGTAACTTTAAAATGCGTCCGTAGATGTTAATGTTTCCCTGGGAAGAAATTACAAATCCGGTAGCTATCCCTAAGTGTCAGTTAAAGGTCTAATTAACAATGGGGCTCATAAAATAAAATTTGTATTGACTGTCTTTTTAAATGACATAAGCCGTCTGCGTGCGTGAAACCTTTAGTTAAGCTCATTGTGCGAAGTTTAAAATCCAGGCTAACACTAAACTTTTTGATTCATATAATGATTGTCTCAGTTTATACATCAAATTAACTACTAGCTAGCTATATACTGTGTATTTTAAATGTTTGGTTTTGTTGAACTACCCAGTGGTAGAAAAAGTACCCAGGTTGTAGTAGTAGTAGCAGTATAGCAGGAGTACCACAGTATAAAAATACTTACAATACAATACTTAAAGTGTTACTTAAGTAAGAGTACAGAGGTATAAATATACTTAAAGTGCCCAAGGTAAAGCAGATTAGCACATTTATACATTATAGTTATTGATGCATTATTGTGTTCATAACTTTAATGTTGCAGCTGGTATAGATGGAGCAAATCTTAACCCATAATATGATTATAATTTGAATTACTGCTGGTTAGCCTGTGAATTTCTCAGAGGTGACCAATAAGTACTTATGATTTTACTGTATTTTATTAATTTTATTATGAAAAGTAACTAAAATCATCATTCAGTGCGATAAAAAGTACATAATTTAGCCTCTAAAATGCAGAGTAATGATGCCTTACCCAGTAACTTAGCCAAAACCTCCTTGGAGCTGTAAGAGTTATTGAGCACCAATACATCATTCTTCTTGTGTTTCACTGTCCATTTGATAGTAACATAACTTGAATATTGGCCAGAAACTCCAGTATCATGTTTCAGTGTTTCAGAAAGACTAAAGGAGTCCAATATGAGAAAAAGCCAGCAGAGAAGGCAGGATTGTAGGTCTTTATAATTTAATTATAAGCACATATACTCACACATCTTTAAAATATCAGATAGATTATCAATCACAGATAGTTTCTGTAGGTACTTTCTGGCTATATATTCTCAGTTCCAAATATTATTTCAGTCCAGACTAAGAAGTTATTCTTAGTAAAGTTTTTAGTTAACCTTGATTGCACTGTGGCATTTTCATGCTTTCTGTAATCCTCTTGTCCTCTGCTTTGCAGCTGGCATTCAGATGAAAACAAGATCAGGATAGAGAGTTTTCTACAAGCCAACTATCATTCAATGATGTCTGTTGAAATACCCATGGAGAGAACGTACCAGAATCCAAATCAACCAGTTTCCTCTTCAGGATCTATCTTAGCCAGCTCTGGAATCAGTGGGGTGGAGCAACAAGGGGACAGACTGGGCCTCCAGGCCTCTCAGGGTGAACCAGTGGTGGGGAAGAGTCCTGGTTATAGTGTGCGGTGCCCTGATGACCCTGTCCCCACTGGGCAATCTCAGCCAACTGCTGCCAACATGGAAGCTGATGTCTCTCAGACCATAAATCAGCAACAAGTACTTATTACTTTGCACAACCACTAAAGGAAAAGTCTAATTATTTACTTATTTCTCTCTGTGGTGCACTTACAGTATAGTAGCTTATTTATATAGCTGTAGTTTTACATAAACATTCAGTAGTCATACAGAATAAATCAGTCACAGAAGAAACATAAAACTATTTCTTCACAGCACTAGCCTCAGTAGGTTGCTAGCTCATCGCTGATCCTCACCTGTGTATCTCCCTCCATGTTCCTCCTCTGTTACCTCACCTGTGTTTCTTCTCCTCAAACTTGTTCCTATTTAAGTTCTTGTCCCGTGGCTGCACCTGGGTACACATTACTTAACCCTAACAGTTCCATGTAACCACGCATGTAAACTTTTTATCCAGTTTGCCTTCTTGCCACTAGGTAGCAGTAGAACATCAGATTACAGTGTTTTCTCAAACTGTGTCTCAAACCACCTAACACGGTCACTGGCACATGTTCTGTTCTCTTCTCTTGGTCAAAGATTTGTCTTGACTGAAATTTGTACTGAATCTTTCAGGCTCCAGATGATACACACAAGGTCATTCAGCAGCAAATTGAGCAGATCCACAAGGTTCTACAGGAGCAGAGTAGACAGCTGACTCTTTTAGGAACAGGTCAGTGTTGGACCTGTACACAGTCCTGTTAGACAGTCCTGTCTTTTGTTTTTGGGAATTAAACCTTTCCAGCAAACCTAAAGATCGCAGGGCAGATTCAAGTTTAGTGGATGCTTGTAATGAAGGTTTTAAAAAGTTTGATTAGAATTACAACTGGATTTTCTCTCCTTCTGTGGAACTTGTCAGTTTTCAAACAACACTTTATACTTGTCACACAGCTAAATTCTGGCTGACACATGAAGCAAATACAGGCTTTGTATAATCAGGCAGGGCATGAAGCCAATCTGCAAAGAAGGTGGCAACAGTGTTGTTTCTGTTTAGGGTTTGTGCGACAGTGTTGCTGAAGCTGCTAGCCTCACTTCACAGCCTCCACCAGCTCTGCTGTTGCAACACTCATTAACCTGCCCAGAGCAAATGGTGCACACCCCAGCATACTTGAAACATGTCAAAATATACTTAGACAAAAGTGCTCTGTGTATTTATTATAATCGATATGTGTGGAAATATCAAGAAGTTGTTTATTAGCCATTGGTTTGGGCACAACTTGTGTTTCCTCCCTGACACACTAGAAACTGAACAATCTAATCTCCTCTCTTTTACTCTCTCCTTATCTCTGTCTAGTGTCTCTTGAAGGTCTGATGCTTCCTGCCTACATATCCTTGCGGTGGATTGGTTTGCTGCCTGAGCTGACAAACTCTGAGAAGGTAGGTGATACTTGACTGGCAGACAGGCACAGTTGAACTGGAGAGCCAGAGTATTGTTTGTTGTTCTAGAGTTGACAGAGATCAAACCAGAGCTAAAAGAAGAGTGAGGTTTCACCCGTTGGGCAGAAGCACAATTCAGAATGAACAATAACTCTGTTTCATCCCTGAGCAACTGGGTGATAATATGTCAGAGTCTCTTTAACAAAAGATTCATCAATCTAACGAAACTTTAACCTGATTTTCCTCCAAGGTTTATTCCTTGAGATTCTAAACACCTCACCAGTAGACACTTCATGAACATGGATGGTGGAAAATATTTTACCCTGGCTCAGTTCACATGCATTTTTGAGGTTTTATCATCTAGATTTAAAACTGGACCATAGCCAGCACTATACATATAGTTATATCTGTTTTTTTTATATGTAGAATACATCTGAGGCATATTACCTCTGCATTAGATGTCTCACTGTAGTAACATTTTGATCTGCACAGTGTCAGCTACTGGGCTACATACTTTATCAATTTATGTTTTATTTCTGTTCCTTTGTTGTTCATACCATATAGACTGGCAGTGTACATATTAAAGATCAGCATGAACATCTGCATTACTACTGCTCAAACTCTCTTTTTCAGAACAGTGATGGAGCGAGGTGGTCACCAGAGAAGAGTTATTTCTTGCAGGAAACTGAAAGCGTTTCCAGTATGGACAGAAATAATTTGAAGGTCACTGACCAGCAGGAGCTCCAGCAGAGCACTTCGCTCAGCCCGCAGCAGCCCAGTGGGAAGTCTGGCATCCAGAGGTGCATCTCTGCCCCATTTACGATCTTTAAGGATGAAGGAACGCAACAGTCTCTGAATTTCCAACCTGAGCATAGTCGAAGGTTTGGGACTTTACAAGACTTCTGCTCTGGTTTATATAATCCTCAGATACCACAGTGCAGTCAGAAAAATACCCAAACTGAGGTCCAGGCTCAAGCTGAGGACTTTGGCCATATTTACAGTACAGAACAAACTTACTTCACAGAGCCTCTCCCGCTTCAACATGACACTCCACCTTCCTCACAAGTCCAAAATAAAGACATCACAGATAAAGGAGAAGAGAAAGTTGGACCATTACAAGGCACAAAATACAGAGCCACCATGTCCAAAGGGAATTATGATCTGAACAGTGGTAACCCTCATTCAAGAGACCCAGATGGCAGAGTTACCCAGCCACCCTCCAAGCTAACAGCCTCTGTTAGCAAGTCTTTCAGAGAACAAAGGGTGAAACACGCAGACATGGAAAACATGGAAACTCAAAAAACAACCCCAGAGGATCAGCGTGAACAATCCCTGCATCAGAACAACTCACAGGTCTGGACACCCAAACATCCCCGCACCGTGTATGAATCGAATTTAGTGCAACGTTTCAACATTTGTCCCCCTCGGAGCAACAATAGCATTTCCCCTCACGCATGGAAAAATCAGGAAGTTACTGTTAATTTTAAAAGAGTGAATGAATGCATAGAGAGAGTCTCGAGCTTGAACCAGGAAACTCTGTCCACAGGCTGTGATGAAACAAAAGCACATTTACAGCTTTGCCAGTACAGTAAGTCAAGACCAGGAGGCAACGCGGGCTCAGACTGGGCCAGAATTCACAAACAAGCTTCAGCAACAGCAGCAGCATTTTGTATTAGTGCACCAAACAACACAAGTCAAGCTTCAACACCTCTGAAAAGAAGTACCAGTGGTAGCAGTAGGGGAGATGAAGCTAACCCACTCCCATCCCCTCCTCCATACCCTGGCCATCAGGATTCCCATTTAGACCTGCTAGAGGATGACAATGCCAGTGACACTCCCAGTGACCCTGAGGAGGGCTGGATGTTACTGGGGATGCAGAAACTGAAACAGGGTCGGAGACTTGGATCTGGACTAGGACCTCAGCGAAACTCGTCTTCCTCCAGCTTGAACGGAGAGAACAGAACTAAGGATCATTGTAATGGTAATTTAAACATATATTTGTTTGGATTTAGGCCTGGTTTTGATAGCTCTGATTGAATCTGCATATTAAAATTGTAACTAACATTTCTTATGATTAATTTTCCATTACTGTTTTGATAAAGACCAATTATTGGCTCCATTTGTCAAAGCACATATAGTGTGCATCAGTGTTGGGATGTAACACGGCTTGGCTTTAACTTTAAAGTAAGTTCCCTTCCAAACATATAACAATAGTCTGCCTTGAAAAATAATATGTGCCTTGTAGGATCCGATAGGATGTTTCTCACAAAGGTCAGTTAGCCATTTTTGAAATAATATCTACTTCTCTGTTGTTGAACAATTCAGATTCTGACTATAACAGGTTCCCATCTGAACAATGAAACAGGATTTTCTTGCTGAAAACATCTCTCCTGTTCCTACTGGCTATTAAGTGTAACTGAGTGCTGAAGCAGTGGGATGGTGGAGCAGTGGTTAGCACTCACAGCAAGAAAGGTTCCAGGTTCAAACCCAGGCCGAACCTGGGTCTTTCTGTGTGGAGTCTGCATGTTCTCCCTGTGCCTGCGTGGGTTCTCTCCGGGTGCTCCGGCTTCCTTCCACAGTCCAAAGACATGTAGCTTAGGTTGATTGGAGACTAAATTTCCCCTGTGAGTGTGTGGTATAGATAATGGATGGAGTGCTGCAGCCATTTTGACCCCATCTCTTACATTGAAAGTGCATCACAAAGTGGATCTTCTAATGTCCAGTGTGAACAGGACAATGATTACAGCAAGACAAACCTGTTTTAATGTTTATATACCTCTGTAGTTTTTACATGCTATCACATTTTCTTGGCAGAGCTACAGGATGACTCCTGGTGCAAAATCCAGTCCAGCACATCTGTCAAGACCTCATCTGCAGAGGACAGGACAAAATCTCAGAGGAAGTACAACAAAGTAACAAGGAGAAACAAAGAATGTCAGACCTCCTCAGAGCACCTAAGGACATCTCACCGAGGTAAGGACTAAAGTGGGAGAAGAGACGTGTAGGCCAGAATATCAAAAAGGGCGTTGATATTCTCCAAACTAAATATTTTTCAGGCAAATTATGCAAGCTCTCGAAAGGGACGATCTGACAATCACACTCACTTTACACAGCCACTGGTCGGGACTCACACAACTACTTGAGTCACTTTTTGTGTTCACACTGAATCTCTGTGAAGAGAGAACAGCAGCAAGTTTGCTACAAAGACACAGTGTCCTTGGAGAGACAATAGCTGTCTTTAGATGTAGTCGAACGGCACATCATACAACCTAATTTGTTTCAAGCACACAAAACATAGCACCTGTTAAAAGTCTCCTTTGTGTATTTTTCATATTTAGGTGGTGAGAAAATGTTGAAGCTAAACTCACTGGAACCAGAAAGTGAACAAGATGATGAAGAGCACACAAAAATGGCACAAACATCAAGGGGATTTCACAGGTAAACACACCATGTGGTATTCTGGGCACGCAAAGCAAACAACTTTATCTGATACTGTATCAACTGATCAACAGTTTAGCACATCTACACAGCAGGAAGTAGTGCATGCACACAAAATGATGATCTCCTCTGATGAGTTGTTTACCTTTTGGTGACACCCCAGACTGAGCACACACTCACTAAGCTACTGGCCTGGCTCAGTCTTGTTTTATTATTCCAATATTTTGCAGTATTTCTGAAGTCAGTCTGTTTATATGCAGATATAATGTAGATCTGAAAGATGAGCTCAAGAGGTGTTTTAATGGAGATACCATCCGCTCTGACAGAGAAGAGGGTCAGGCCACGAGAAATCGACGCAGTCTGGACGAACTGAACTGCAGGGACATACAGGTCGGTTTTGTTGGGAGAACTTGTGGCTTTGTGTCAGAGCAGATATACTGTCTTAGGATTTTTTTCCCAACTTTTATTTGTAAGGAACCATGTACAATATCAGATATAAATGTTGCCAGCTATAAGGTTCTGGGTTCTAGCCCGTGCCGACCCGGCGCCTTTCTGTGTGGAGTCTGCTTGTTCTCCCTCTGCCTGATCACAGTAAATTAATGTGTGTCACCTACTGTGGCAGCATGGCTCTTTTCTGTGTTTTAAACAACACAACAGTTCAACAGTACTTTCAGATAAACCTGCAGCCTTTCAGGACTAGGATTAAGAGTCTGAAGTCCATGTGAAACTAGGTGACAGTGGACTATGTAGTTGTCGTCGGTGGTTTCATGATGGTGAAGCAGCTGCTACTGGACCACAATCATCTCTTTTGCTGACTTTAATTATCATGAAGCTGTTTCCTGTTTTCTTCCAGAGACAGAGTGTCATCAGGTGTGATGTTGAACAGTTAAGCATCATGGAGCAAATCTGAGCAAATGTTTACAAAAATGCTCCCACTAAGTCACCACGAGTCACATTCAGAGCTGCGTGTTGAATAGGCTGACATCATATGCTTCTGCCCTGACTGTGTCTGTGTGTGTGTGTGCGCGCGCAGGCCCTCAGGCAGCAGATGGCTTCCCTTCAGCAGCAGTTTAAGCAGAGAGAGAGTGATTGGTGTGTAGTTCAATGCCAGCTGGAGAAACTGGTCAGAGAAAATGCTGAGCTGAAGGACAAACTCACAGTTATGCCACAGTGCTGTGTGGTGACCGGCCGATGTACTACACAAACACACACTGTGCACAAGGATCAACAGACAGAGGTATATTATAATGTGTAGTCTTCTTCTTTTCAGATCATATATTATATAAAACTTACCAACATGGAGTCTACCCTGTTCTGTCTTTATTAATCATTTCTCAAATCAGTTCTGGTCCTTTCAGTGTAGTTTCATGGAAGAAGACATCACAATATTGGAAGCTTGTCGTGTTGTGAAGAGATGTAGTTAATGCATCGATCTGCAAGCAAAACTCTTAACTTAAAGCAGCTGTAATCAATATTTTAACATCAAAAAGATCCCTGGAAATGGAGTGCAATGTGATTCTGTGTAATTCTTCTACTGTAGCTCCTTTAGCGGGTAGAAATAAAGGAAGCACTGCTGCCCTGCGCTGACCTTCAGGTTACTTTCTTTGATAGGAGAAAGCTGGTGGTAAGAGCAGCCAGTGAAGGATAAGAGCAACACAAGAGACAGATAACTTCCCCAAAATGCCATAAAACAAAGAAGATGCACTTATTATGACCAGTCCTAAGTATAGTATATATCATATCGCTGTACACATTGTTATTAGTGTATTCTTTCCACTTTACAGCTCTTAATGCTTGTTTGTTTTGTACAGATGGTCACCTTTGTGTCTGCTGTTTAAGTCTTACTGGTATCAAATTAGTCAAGAATATAATACACTCTTAAATGGTCTTTAAGCACCCTGGCAATAATTTATGAGGACGGACAAAAGATGGTGTCAAAGCACTGACTGACCTCATCACACATTCATGAAGTGCAAGTCGATATGAGCCCTTTGGCAGTTCTGCCGCAGCCCAAATGTGATTTTACCTTCGCAACTCATTGCTCCCATATGCAAATATAGGAGGTAGAAAAAAGTCACTGGTAATAAGGATAAAATTGTATAACAAAGAGTATTATTGTATTTACCTGTTGAAGGCTTATATATGTTAACATACAGTATATATAATATATTAATGACAATACACACGCACACACAGTAATGATAACAAACTTAATTTCCCAAATAAATAATTGACCAGGATTCTCTTGTAAAAGAGATTTTTAGTCTTGATGAGGTTTTCCTGGTAAAATAAAGGTT